CGTGCCCCTAAGTATCCCCAGAGGAATCGGACATAAAACCACAACACTACCCAGTCCCGGCCAACCAAAAAAGAACTTGAATCTGTACTTTACAAAGAAATTGTTATCCCAAATTCATTACATTTGACCACTTTTTAAATGTCAGTGTGTGATCATATGCGTCTCATCGCCCTAAAACTACTATATAGATCAGGCACTCAAAATAGCAACCAAACTAAACATACACTCTAATGGTATTGCTTTATTCAAGAATCACTTATCCAAACTCAAATCACAAAATCTAAATAAATTCATAATAACAAAACAACAGTTATGAAGTTTGTTTGTGTTTTCAATATCTTCTCTGAAAATCATATTTTCAAAAACCTGAGATTTTGTGTATTTGTTCCCACTAACATGATGCCAATACAACTTCAAGCTGTCTAGACATGGCAACTATTATATATACTTTTCACCCTTTAGAAAGCCACTTCTGCGTTTACATTATGAAATTTGATATACAGTAAATATTTGGTAAACCCAACAACAGGGTAATATTTTGCAAGTTATTCTTATATTTAACTGCAACATTTTGTCTTCATGTGCTGCTGCAGCAGTCATGATGAATGAGTTCTTTTGACTAATTACATTACCAATTACTATCCCCCACAACATGTTTTGCGGGGTATTAAAATGGACATGGTCAGTCCTTGCATTCATACTTCTGTGTAAGATTTTGAAAAACGTTTACTATTTTCTTCACCAATCTTGGTACATGGATAGGCCTAGTGGTGACCTGGTGCCTGTTGATAGTTTTTGTAAAATGTATCTTTTTAGTTTCCATGGCAACAACTTTGACTGAAAAAGGAGGGTAGTGTTCGTTCTTGGAACAGACCTTAAAAACCTACAATATTTCTTCACCAAACCCGACACACAGATTGGACTAGTGGTGAACTGGTGCCTTTTGATAGTTTAGGATTTTTTTTAAAATTAATTTTTTGAGATGCCACAACTTTGAGTCGTACTGAAAATGAGGGTAGTGCTCCTTTCTGGGCAGATTAAACAAAACTTACAAGATTTCCTTAACAAGCATGGCACATAGATAGGTCAAGTGTTGAACTGGTGCCTTTTGATAATTTGGGATTTTTTAAACAAATATTTAGTTTCCATGGCAAGTATTTAATATTTAGGGGATAATGGTGAATTTGTCTTCTTGCATATACTGTCATCCTTATATTTGGCCAAGATGCTGTGAGAAAGTCTGTTCTGTAGATAAATTGTTTTGTTTCTATCGCTTATTTTTTATACCCTTGTATTGCCTTTTTGATGTAATAATATATTCCGGAAAAAATTCAAGGGAGCTACAGAGCCATTTTAACACCTAAAGTTTGTTTGAACAGTATTTCTGTCAGTCATGTGAGGGGACAGCCAAAAGGTAATGAAGGGGAAAATTATTACATCAGAGCTACAGATAAGCAGCGTATTTGTGTAAAATACCCCCAAAATTATTTAAAACCCAACTACTTTCAATTAACTTGTGTACAGAAAGGCATGCATTAAATGAAAAACTCAAATCATTAAATTATTAAAACAGCTCGCGTAAATGCCCAATGAAGCTTTTTCAGCATGCGTACACAGGACCTAATTTCTGAAACACCTATGTATTTAGAACATTATTTCATTTTTTTTTTTTAAATCTTAAAATGTTCACTAATTTTGGGAAAGACCCAATAGAGTGATGAATAGATGAGTGAAAAAATATTGGTTACCCAATGAAAAATGTGCTAACCCAATTAAAATAGAAACTTTAGAGTAAAAACTCAAGTGCTCAAAAAGTTCTCTGGAGCTCTGTTACATGAGTCAGTTTAATGGCACCACTTTAATACAATGGGCACATCTGGCCTCAATTAGCTGACGACATTGCAGCCATATTGAATGTTATTTTGGCCAGGTACTCATGTATCATGGTGTTATTCATTTAACAGGCTATAATACTATATTGCAATCTGCAATGTGCTATGTTTCAATCATAAGTTCCATTTAGTCATGCCATCATCTTTCACCTTTTTGTGTCCTAATAATGGAATGTACTAGTAAGTGTAATAACCTTGTACTTGCATTGTTTCCTATGAATCTGTTTGGAAGTGAAGCTATGATTGGTTATATATAGAGAATCTCACCCTCGTGTCTTTTGATATCAAATATATCAACACGAGTTGATAAAAGTGGGAAAACTCCGAGGCTTGCCGAGGATTTTTTCCACTTTTATCAACGAGTGTTGATATATTTGACATCAAAAGACACGAGGGTGAGATTTTATTTATATCCAACATCATTCTTCCAACTTTTTCAGTTTGTAGACAGTAATAGTAAAAAGTACTGCAAACAGCTTCAGTAGCAGAGCCATTAGTGATGTCATTGATTGTGACGTCATGGTAACCAATGACGTCACAATGGTCTGCAAAGCATTGTGATGCAATTTCATTGCAGCGATATCTATAGTGTAGATATCGCTTGATCTCACTCAAGCGATATCTCCTGTGGGAGCCAGATTTGGGTGATAAATGTGTGTTATCATGCACTCCAACAATGGTATAAAATAGATCTACTGTTTTTTTCAGATTTGAGATTCAGCCTATCATGCCATGGTCATACCCATTGCATGCCCCCTTGTATCTAGCTTACAGTTATACTAACACTGTTTGGATTGTTGCCTTTCAATAAGGTGAAATTGGGTTTACGTCGCGTCCAAGATTATTGCGCTTATATAGCGACGTGCATGTACGTGTGTGTGTGTGTGTGGCTGCTTGTACTAGTCCGGACTGATGCCGATTAATAGTGCTAGCTCACTGAGATACCATGCCGCAGTTTAGTATGAATACCCGACTCAGACACAGTATACTGACTCCGGGCCGACCAGTCCTTGTTTTAGCCCCTAAATGCCGAGCGCCAGACAGGGTAACAACAAGTACCATCTTTGCTAATTGCAGCAGTAAATGTTAGTCTCCAGAGACGTAGAGACCGTCTTTGTACCTACTAGTAGCTGCTCACAGTTGCTAACAAAGCTGTGCTAGTAGTAGGTAATATTTCCTGGATCGGGTGCCTTAACAGGCTCCAAGAGGATGCTGGTGGAGGAACAGTTCGAAAACAATATACAGTAGCAGTTCCTTTATTTCTCTAAAGCATTTGACATGGTCTGGCACCACGCTCTAATGTAAAAACTAAAAAACAAAGGCATGAAAGGTACAATGACAAACTTAATCCACGTCTTTTTGTAGTTGGAGCTGATGGCACCACATTCGACCTATAAGCTAGAAAACGGTCCACCTCAGGGCAGCGTACGAAGCCCAGCTCTATTCAATATATTGAGTGAGTGAGTGAGTGAGTGAGTGGGTAAGTTGGGTTTAACGCCGCTTTTAACAGTATTACAGTTATATCACGCCGTGTCAGCTTAATGTTGGAGGAAAGCCCGAAGTGATGCAGGTCTCAGACGTTTACCACTTCGGTGAAACCCACAAGCACGGGTATGGTGCTGACAAACCTAGAAACATAATCGGGGAGAACTGGGATTCGAACCCACAATCATAGGTTTCTTGAGTGCCAAAGGGACGCAACTGTGCACAGCAAATCGCGGCACCTGAGACGACTGGGCCACCCGTGCCCCCTCAATATAACGATAGACGACCTCCCGCAGTTAATACATCTATGTTTGCAGGCGACGGGACCCTCTGGGTCCGCACAAACCAAATCCAAGTAGCAACAAACGCAATTAACTCCGTCGCCGAGTGACCGCCTCCGTGGTCTAGAGGTAGAGCGTCCGCCCGGAGAGCGGAAGGTCCGGGGTTCGATCCCCGGCCGCGTCATACCAAAGGACGTTAAAAGAAACTGGTCGGCTCGGAGTCTGTATACTGTGTCTGAGTGAGGTATTCATGCTAAACTGCGGCATGGTATCTCAGTGGGCTAGCACTATAAATCGGCATCAGTCCGGACTTGAACAAGCAGCCACACACACACGTGCATGCACGTCACTATATAAGTGCAATAATCTTGGACGCGACGTTAAACCCAATTTCACCTCACCTCACCTCACCGTCGCCGAGTGGTCAGCCAAATGAACTTTCAATCTAAACATATAAAAAAAACACAGGCATAGTATTCAAACTCTGCAAGTAGCGCCCCCCAAAAAACCTAATTTCCATAAATGGACAAAATATAGCATTCAACACGCAACCAAAATCCCTGGGGTTGTTCTACATCTCACTAGGGAAGCACACGTCAAGACCTTAAAAGCAGGTGTGCTTAGGACTTAAATATCATGTGAGCGAAAAGTGGCTCAAACTGGGGACTAAACAAACAAACAAACAAACAAACAAACAAACCGTACTAAATATCTTCCAAACACTAATAAGGCCAAGCCTTGATTATGGATCTCAAGTCTTCCATAATCTCCTAAGAAAATGACGTCGATATGGGTACAATATGTGGAGCTAATTCTGGTGTCCCCAGCAATGATATTGCTGGAATATTGCTAAAAGCGGCGTAAAACCATACTCACTCACGTAATAAAAACTAAATAAAACAGTAGAATATAACTACCCAACCGAACACCCCCCCACAAGAAACCCAGGCACAGCCATCCACTGCTCCCAAGTCCCATATTCCAAATATCCCTCTTATTCTTTCGTGATTATTTTCTTCCCTCAACACCCATAACCACCCATGGAAAAAAAGTTGGGCATCAATTGCAAATACTTCTTTCAGTTTTATTTATCATCTCATTAATATACTATGTCCCTCTTGATATGCCCCGAGTGCGAAATTGGATCCACCGGAAAGGCTCGTTAAATCTCCAGAAGAAGAAGCACACGACTCTCACGCCCATTTCTGGGAACATATGTTGCCGATGAATTAGCCCCGCCCCTTTGACGCAACAAGTGTTCCCAGCCAATGGGAGAAGACACCTTAGTGACACTGCAGGTATTTAACCAGTTCATTTAAAACTGTCGGCAGTCAGAGGCTGATTCCAGGAGAATTATTTCAACACCTACACGTATGACCATGCCTATCTCTACTACAGGTGCAAAAATGAAGATCGGCGTTATCGGAATGCCCTTCTCGAAAGGACAGGTATGTAATATCCATATAGAAGGAAACTTGTTCAATTGCTAGTTGACGCGTTCATTAATAGCTACAAATAAAAATGTGTAATATTGACATCAGGTCCATATTCGTGATATAACGATTAATATATTTCATTGTTATACATTGTTGAAAGTACAATGTTGAAAGAAAAATCAAATAATTTTCTTCCATACGATTACAGTAAACTACGGTTATAACGAACTCAAAGAGACTATTAATTTTAGTTCGTAATAACCGTAGTTCGTTATAAGCATCTATATACAGCATATATGCAACAAATGTCCAGGGCCAAGTTCCTCAAAGCGATCTTAGCGCTACGATGATCGTAAGCCTATGTTAAAGTATGGGACTTACGATCATCTTAGTGCTAAGATCGCTTTGAGGGACGGGGCCCAGGACTAAAACATAAGTTCGTTATATCGGTCAGTTCGTTATAAGCGGGTTCGTTATAAACGTAGTTTACTGTATATCTTTAAATGTACTGCCTTTTAAGGGAGAGAAATCAGTGTATTAGTTAAATGTATTATATATGGCCTAATTTATATAAATCCAAACGCATTTTATGCTCTCAAAAGACGAGGGAACATAATCATTTATCACAATCTTTCCAGAATGTAAATGTATGAGTTAAGCACATTTGAGAATTCTTTGGTTGTATTGTAAATCGTAACCATTTTTGTTATATGATCTAAATTATGTTAATGTGTATATTGTGTGGTCTCTTGTATCCCGGTTGGTGGGGTTGCGTGGGGTCTGAGGACACCTCATAGGAGGTCACGTCAGGTGAGCTTTCTCCTCAGTCATTCAGCCGCAAGGCTTCTTAATTCTCGATATTAGTGAGCGAAGCATTCATAAAAGCAGACACGTTAGAGTTTTTTGTTTAAAAAAAAAAAAATCACAAACATAAAGAATTAACTATACTTGAAATAATACCATACATGACAGGCATTTAGAAGTTAGTTGGTTGGTTTGTTGTTTAACGCCGCACTCAGCAATATTCCATCTATATGACGGCGGTCTGTAAATAATCGTGTCTGGACCAGACAATCCAGTGATTAATATAATGAGCATCGATCCACGCAATTGGGATCGATGACATGCATCAACTAGGTCAGCGAGCCTGACCACCCGACCCCGTTAGTCGCCTCTTACGACAAGCATAGTCGCCTTTTACAGCAAGAATGGGTTCCCGAAGACATATTCAAACCCAGAACTTCACGGGTCGCATTCAGAAGTTGGAGTACTAAGTAGGGATAAGATATATGGATGAACAACTTTATAACAATTAGGAGCGGCGTTTCGTTGTAAGTTCTAACATCATTATCAGAGTATGGTTGACAAGCATTTATATATGAGGCAGGGTTGATACAGCCCTGCTTCACAAAGCGAGCGTAGCGCTGAGACGATCGTAACTCCCATACTTTAACATAGACCTATGACAGTCGTAGAATTACGATCGCTTTGTGGAACAGAGCCCTGGCAGTAGATTAGGATGTTGTTACACCGGACGGTAGAAGACGGTGTCGTGCCGGGTTAGCGAAAATCCAATTTTCCCTAGTATCAGTAAAGCGAAAACCCAAGTTGGGGTAGTTGTCCTACGAAAGCGAAAAATGAGTAATTGCTATAAAAACACCGGATTACCGTAGTTTAGATTAGCGCCCGACCTCCAAACACACAGATCACGTTGGTGACCTGATCCACTTGGAGTGAATGACTTGAACACAACGTGTATGCCAGTGTAACCTCAAATTTATTATAGAATGTATTTCGGTATTTACCATTATATTTTAAGATATAAGTTATTGTTTTTGTAGAAATTATAATGTACATCTATGAAATATTAAAGTATTAGAGTTATGAAATTTGTTAAATGTAAAGTGCTTTTGTGCAACTATACTATACTTCAGCATCTAATAAATTACTACTGTAATTACGGTATACGCATTTCTGTGTTTTTCTTGTAATTTGAGAGTCCCGGTATAGCAATATCCCGTGTTTACTGTAGCGTGACCAGTCTTACTGTAGCTTCACGAAAGCGAAGAGATTTTAGAGTTCATTATGGCTAGGTTTCGCTCTCCCGGCCCAGAACCAGAAGACTGTCGCTCCAACCACCAATCAACCGTGATCAATGCTATAACATACCCCCTGCGTATCACCAGCTCATTAATGACCCAATCAGTCATATTTCCTTTTATTTATACTGCTGGCTTCCCCTGTTAAGATGTTTACCTTACATAACCCCTTTTGTGCACATATTAGGTTTCTCCACTCCAGTGAAGCTACTGGTAATAAAGAAGTTGTTCATCTATATCTTATCCTTATGTCGTGTTTTGCATAGACATATCACAATCTCATTAAAATCAGATCTTAGTTCTCGCTACCGCCAAACAAAGATCTGAGGACATCCCATTAGGGGTCACGTCAGAATGACCTTTCATCCGATCAATCAGAGCGTCGCTTACCAGATCATGAAAGTGACATTCGGAATGTGAATTCTGATAATGCAAACTCGAAAACTTGAACACTCGGTATTCCGAACGATAGTTACGGGTTTAACGACTGAATCCATATGATGTATACCATCTATAAGCCATTCCAGAATGTTCTTTTGTTCAGGTTTCAAATTTGTAATCGAGAATTTGTCAAAATATGTTTCGAAGCCTAGTGGCCAATTTGAACTTAGTGCCGTAAAGCACGAGAAAGCTGCCTTCTGATTGGCTAATGTCGACTTCTTGTCAGTCCTTCTATCGGTCGGTCAAAGTTCGCGCAAGGTCGGTCTGACGTGACCCGTAATGTGATGTCCTCAGATCTTTGTTTAGTGGCAGCGAGAACTAAGATCTCATTTTAATGAGATTGAGACATTTCATAGGCAATGAATACGTTACAGGTAGTGAGGTGGCTCGGTCTCCTTAGACGACTGTAATCCCTGTGCAGAGCTGCGTGCCTTAGGCAAGTAGGTTTGTCAGCACCTAATCCGTGCTGGGGGAGTCAGTATGTGGTAAACGTCTAAGACCTGCACCACCTCGGATTTTTGAGACCAGCTGAGAAGAACTGAAACACGTTACCATTTTCTTCGCCCGTGTAGATACATTTAGAGACAATACCATTATGTGAGGCGCGGTGTTTTGTTGCATGCAATCGCAATCGAATATTTTGATATATTGTGGCTAAAAAATATAAGTAACGTGATGTAATATGCTGATTATCTATAATGAAGTGTTTTGTTGTGCAGCCCAAGGCGGGGACGCAGCTTGCCCCGAAGCTGATCCGTCAGGCTGGGATGCTGGAGAAGATGAGGGAAGCAGGTGATCCTTGTTTGTAGATCATCCGTAGGACCCATTACTACTTCACCAACGTGACATTTATTTATTTATTTATTTATTTATTTATTTATTTATTTATTTATTTATTTATTTATTTATTTATTTATTTATTTATTTATTTATTTATTTATTTATTAAGGATTGACTGTGTATTTCTTTCGATTCATCGGCGTAGTAGCGGATTTATACAGTTTGCATATCGGTTTTTCGATTCAAACCTCAATGTACACAGTCAATGCTTATAATTAAATTCGGCAACGAAAACATACAATAGTTTAACCAAAAACAGTTGTTTATATCAAAGCAGTCCAAAATAACGAGATTGATAAACATTCCAGATGTAGGAATACAGATTATGTTTCTAGGTTTGTCAGCACCATACCCGTGCTCGTGGGTTTCACCGAACTGGTAAACGTCTGAGACCTGCATCACCTCGGGCTTTGCTCCCACATTAAGCTGACACGCCGTGATATAACTGGAATACTGTTAAAAGCGGCGTTAAACCCAACTCACTCACTGTAGGAATACATACTGTGGCATGAAATGAATCAGGTGATTGTTTAATTTATGCACAAATATACTGTCTTTTGCACTCTTTAGTTATCTGGTTAACGGTCACCTGTTTCGCGATTTATTTTCCTCACGACGCTGTTGCAGGGAACGACGTGATAGATCACGGAGATTTGGCAGTGGTTGACATCGCCTCTGACGAACCAATCAAAAACGTTTCAAGACCCAAAAACGTGGGAGCAGCCAACAAGCTGGTATTTATTCCAAAATTAATAGTTTGTTATAATGGCATTACATTTTTATAAACCCAAACCGATACAATTGTTAAAAAAATAAACACTTCATCTATACAACTGAATCTGTGTCAGACAAACCAATGATTGATTTCACAATCACCGAATCTGACCATCCAATACATTTAGTACCCTCATGCAGTAATCTGTGCCCGACAAGCGCCATTTTTTTCTCCAATCTACGTATTTTACATCTCGTTCTCAACCGAGAGCATACGAATGTCATGTGCAGTACACATACTGGTTTCAGGCAGTATTTACGTTGCGTAACATTCATGTTCAGATGCGTATGTTTTCCCCGTGTATAGAGGTAAATCTGTTTCAATATTTCCCTTTGATTCTCATTTAACGCCTGATAACATCGTACGGAACTGGATAACAAATGAAATTGTTGGTGATATTATTCCTATATCTAAAGAGCTCTGAGGAAAACAGGGGTGGTCGGATAGCCAAGTGGTTAAAGCGTTCGCTCGTCACGCCGAAGACCCGGGTTCGATTACCCACATGGGTACAATGTGTGAAGCCCATTTCTGGTGTTCCCCGCCGTGATATTGGTGGAATATTGCTAAAAGTGGCGTTAAACCATACTCCAAACAGGCGTGAAGATTCCGGGGTAGAATAGGTCTTCAGCAACCCATGCTTGCCGTAATAAGGCGACTATGCTTGTCGTAAGAGGCGACTAACGGGATCGGGTGGTCAGGCTCGCTGACTTGGTTGATACATGTCATCGATCCCAATTGTGTGGATCGATGCTCATGATGTCAATCACTGGATTGTCTGGTCCAGACTCGATTATTTTACAGATCGCCGTCATATAGCTGTGATATCGCTGAGTGCGGCGTTAAACAACAAACACACAACAAAGCATCTGTGATGGTAGCATGGGGAACAAGTTGGCTTTTTTGTGGTAATATTTTTGATTTTATGTTAATGTTGCAACCATCATCATCCTCATCCTTCAGCTGTGTGAGAATGTGGAGAAGGTCGTGCGACAGAAGCAGGGATGTCTGGTACTGGGCGGGGATCACAGCATCGCCATGGGTTCTATCCAGGGCCACATACAGGCGGAGCCGGACCTCGTGGTGCTGTGGGTGGACGCCCATGCCGACATCAACACCCCCCTCACGTCTCCTAGCGGCAACGTGCACGGCATGCCTCTCTCCTTCATCGTGAAGGAACTGGAGCCATACATGCCCACTATCCCTGGGTTCGAGTGGGCCAAGCCGTGGTGAGTGGAAGACTGTATTTGTATGTTCAGCTTGGTAGACTATCACCGCAGTACTGAACTTACTATCCTAAATGTTAGGATCGCCTGCAGAAGTTGAATGCAAATATAATTAGATTTGTTTGTTTGTTGTTTGACGCCGCAATCAGCAAAAATCCGGGTATGTGGGGTCGGTCTGTGAGTAATTGAGTCTGGACCAGACAATCTAGTTCACTCGTCACGCCCAAGACCCGGGTTCGATTCCCGACATGGGTACAATGTGTGAAGCCCATTTCTTGTGTCCCCCGCCGTGATATTGCTGGAATATTGCTAAAAGCGGCGTAAAACCATACTCACTCATTCACTGTATATCCGTTTCCACAAGAAAGGGTGCTACGCCATCAAGATATAGTCTATCAATGTGGTTATACGTTTTGATAATGCAGCATTTTGCAGAGGTGTGCATGTATTACGGTACCTGTATAAAATGGTTGGTAATATTCTCATGCTCTTCACAATTATTTTCAATTCAGATAACATTTACACACTTCGTTGAATATTTACGAATTATGAAAAGATATAAAACCCTACTTACTTTTCAGTTTGGCAGCTAAAGACATAGCGTACATCGGCCTACGAGACGTGGACGGTGGAGAGAAGTGAGTTTTCGCATTGTTAGAACTTCAATATGTAAACACACTATAATACAATTTTACAAATGGGCCAGTTATGAAGTGTTTCGTTATGAAATCGATTGGTGTGTATTTCAGGGCGATAATTGACAAGTTGGGCATACACAGTTTCTCCATGCACGAGGTTGACAAGTTCGGCGTGGCAGCTGTTGTTGAGAGAGCGTTGAATGCAATGGATCCAAGGTAGGAAGGCATCACCAGTTGTAGTGAGTGAGTGAGTTAGGTTTAACGCCGCTTTTAACAGTATTCCAGCTATATCGCGGCGTGTCAGCTTAATGTGGGAGGAAAGCCCGAAGTGATGCAGGTCTCAGACGTTTACCACTTCGGTGAAACCAACGAGCACGGGTATGGTGCTGACAAACCTAGAAACATAATCGGGGCGAACCGGGATTCGAACCCACAATCATAGGTTTCTGGCGTGCCCAAGGGACGCAACTCTGCACAGCGAATCGCGGCGCCTTAGACGACTGGGCCACCCGTGCCCCCTCACCAGTTGTAGAATTCATGATAAGTGACAAGTGCAGTGGGGCGTGGGGTAGAATGTGTCCCAAGCACCCCATTGCTGGTCGTATAAGGAGCCACCGAATTTGGCTACCCGCGAAGATCCGGGTCAGAATTGATCTTCAGCAACCCATGCTTGTCGTAAGAGTCGACTAACGGGATCAGATTGTCAGGCTCGCTGAATTGGTTGATGCATGTCATCGTATCCCTATTGGGTAAATCGAAGGTCATGCTGTGCAAACAAACAAACAAACAAGAACGATGCGTTTTAGCCATTACCAATGACTATTAACACTTAGCATGGCCAGAGAGTGTCTGACCAGAGTGTATGTGTGAACTGTTGTTTCAGTGGGATTCGCCCAATCCACGTGAGCTTTGATGTCGACGCCATGGACCCCGACATCATCCCTTCCACGGGGACAGCAGGTTAGTCGCCAGGCCATTGGCACTAGCTCCAATATGATGGAGTAGAATACCGTATCTTGTCAAATCTTAGTTATCTTGCCAAGTTTAAAGTATTTTACGAAGTTTAACGCATCTTACGAAGTTTAAAAGGTTCTTTCGTAGTTTAAAGTATCCTGCCCACCTTAACGAGTTTATCGTATGTTGACCAGTTTAACGTTTCTTGACCAGTTTAAAGTGTGAAGCGCATTTGTTGTCCAATATAAACGAATCTGGCGAAATTCCCGAAACTGTACGTACTCATTTATACTCCAGCAGATTCCATTATGTCATGGCCGCCTCCGTGGTCTTGTGGTAGAGCGTCCGCCCGGAGAGCGGACTGGTCGGCTCGGAGTCAGTATACTCTGTCTGAGTGGGGTATTCATGTTAAACTGCAGCATGGTATCTCAGTGAGCTAGCACTATTAATCGGCATCAGTCCGGACTAGTACAAGCAGCCACACACACACACACACACACACACGTGCATGTACGCCGCTATATAAGTGCAATAATCTTGGACGCGACGTTAAACCCAATTTCACCTCACCTCACCATTATGTCATGTATGTGTTACAGTGCCCGGCGGTTTGTCCCTGAGAGAGGCGTACTACATAGCTGAGGAGGTGGCCGCTACAGGTGAGATAGAATACCGTTATCAACAACATACGTGTCTCACCCCTTTACGATACTATCCGTATACATAAAAACCTCGATATTCCGGACCAAGTTAAACCGGAATCCTCGCTTCCCAAAAATTTCTGTTGGGGACGCTGGTCGAAATGTAACTTACCCGATATTACAAATTACCCAAGCTAATCCTGACATTTGTTAATCCGGACTGTTTTGTTCAGGCGGTGAATTCCGGATTTACGGGGTTTTACAGTATTGAAAGTTACCTTGTTAATGATAGTTTATTCTCTTTCATTTTACCAGCTGTAATGTAACTGAAATACCGTATTCGACGTAATACACGTCCGGGAGCTTAGAAAATGGACAAAGGGTTTGTTTATTTTGTCTGGTCCTGACCCGATTATTTACAGACCGCCGTCATATAGCTGGAATATTGCTGAGTGCGGCGTAAAACAACAAACAAACAAACCCTCGTGTTTGCACGTCATTCAAGGCTGACCAAATAGGATGCTTATGATTAGTTTCATGGCCGTTTTCGCACTATTAGTGAGTGAGTATGGTTTTACGCCGCTTTTAGCAATATTCCAGCACTATCACGGCGGGGGACACCAGAAATGGGCTTCACACATTGTACCCATGTCGGGAATCGAACCCGGGTCTTCGGCGTGACGAGCGAACGCTTTAACCACTAGGCTACCCGACCGCCGCTTTCGCACTATTAACGAAAACAAAATAGTTGTGTTTTGCGGTTTGTGGTTGTACGTGTAACTTGCCCGTGTTACAGGTCGTCTTAGTGTCCTTGACTGTGTGGAAGTTAATGCGTTGCTTGGCAGCAAAGAAGAACAGCAACGAACCGTCAGCAGATATATTCCAAATCCGTTCATGTTTTCAATCAAGGTGCTCACGTGATTTGATGCATTTCGCGATGTAAGACCCGTTTTATCACAATATAGATCTTGATTATCAATCAGATCGTCCTGACTTGGCGCCACCTTTTTGTGTGAAGCAAACGCAAGTGATACGAGAGGTGGAATCTGATTGGTCCATAGGAGAAGCTTAGAAGGGACATAATTGGTAATAGCCACTAGGGGGCGCAACGGTCGAGCCCAGTAATTCCAGCCTAGTTCGGCAAGGGTGGAAACTGGACTTTTAAAGTCAGTTAACTCTCTTGCTTCGGGAAGATGCATCACATGTTGTTCAGGTAATTGCTCGGTCCATTATAAATATACACACTCATTGGGGGGGGGGGGGTGCAGATTACCAGTTATTAACGAAAACAAAATAGTTGTGTTTTGCGGTTTGTGGTTGTACGTGTAACTTGCCCGTGTTACAGGTCGTCTTAGTGTCCTTGACTGTGTGGAAGTTAATGCGTTGCTTGGCAGCAAAGAAGAACAGCAACGAACCGTAAAGAACACAGTTGAAGTCATGTCCCGTTTCTATGGCAGCAAGAGATGTGGTAATATTCCCCGTGGGTATACTCTACCAGAGCCTTGAGGAACTCTGCTCCACATCATCAAAGACTCTGTCATTCAAGAACATATATCCTCTGTGTTCACACCCACAATATGGAAACCACGACTGACACTGAAGCAAGCTCCTTCCCAGTGCGTGACACCTTCGTTACACTCTGGGTATCATCGTTGCCGTCAGTGTTGAAGCGACCATTACACGAATCTTGAAATTTGTCCTCTTACCCCAAATGTAGTCACGTTTGATATTTTTGTTTATGTCTTTGAGTGAGTTTTGGATTATAGTCATATCGGCAATATTTCAGCCATATCGTGACTAAATCAAGTTATATATATTCATGAAACACAAAACTGAACTATAAAACCTGTCGACAAAGGACAGTAAAATAACTAGATTATCACAGACCTATATTAAAACTAGCATGTCATTATAAAATTTGAACTATTCATAACAATACAAAATAAAAATGGGCTATAGATCACCAACAACCAAAGGTAGGTCACCATACTAGTTACCATGGGGACTAACGGTACTTCTGCTACCTAGAGGGTACTCCAGCAGGATTTACACAACCCTCTGGCTACTTGTGATTGTTTGAAGGTTAAGCCAACAATTAAAATTACAAGTATACTACGATTAAAACTATGGTAGAAATAAACGTACTTTGAATGATGTGGTCTATGTCTTTGGGAAAGCCACCATAGTGAATTTTGAAAACGTTTTGGATTGTCCAGGTGAATTGTCATTTTTGTTTGTTCACTCAGAATGGTTCGAGTTTTTAAGACTAACGGAAAATCCCCAACTTAATACATTCTTACTATACCAATTACATGATAGTTAAAATGAAATAAAAATTCAAACTGACGAACAATGAAAATAATTAAGCCGAGGTAAGAGTCACGGCAATCATCACCCGTGAAGATCTGGGTTAGAATAGGTCTTCAGCAACTCATGTTTGACATATAAGGCGATTATGCTTGTCGTAAGAGGCGACTAACGGGATCGGGTGGTCAGGCTCGCTGATCTGGTTGATGCATGTCATCGTATCTCAATTGCGTGGATCGATGCTCATGATGTCAATCACTGGATTGTCTGGTCCAGACTCGATTTTTTACAGACCGCCGTCATATATCTGGAATATTGCGTTAAACAACAGACAATCCAAACTTCGTCTAATCCAAGGTTTTGTTGATGGGAGGCCAAAAAACGCACATCTGTGTTATCCTAGAACAATACAGGCGTCAAAACAGCGATGTTTCGTGTAGGGGTGGTCTGCATATTGTGTGTACACTGTGTGACATTATATTTATATCAGATGTGTAACGCTATGGTTGAATCAGAAAGGAAGCAATAAGTTATACGCAACACCCATAGCTTGTTTACCGTCTCGAGGTAAGCTAATATGAATGACTAGAGTATCTAATCATTTCTTTGTTAATCAGCATACGACATAATTCCAGTGTGTGAGTGAATATTGCTTTACGCCGCATCAACAATGTTACAGCTGTTCGCGGCGCGACATAATTCCAGTACATCAACATTGCGCTTAATGGCTGTTGACGCTCGATTAGCGCATAAATGGCACTAATTTACTCAATTTGTCTATCGGTCATTTGTTTTTAGTACCTCATCAGTTGATGCGAATCTCTGATTGATTGTATTTATTTTACTTTGTTTCGTTATTATTCTGATATAATAAAAAACAAATTTATTCGTGTGTTGCTTTTAAGTTTCGTGCAACCAGATAAAAAGTTTGTTACAAACAGATTGCTTATTAATCCCTATTTTTAGGATTGGTACAAGCAATGCCCATAAAACCGGTGTTACAACCCGAGGTAGTCCTGCACCATGACTGTGGAATACATTTATTTTATGAAAAAATAATAATCTAGAAATGCATACAAAAGCAAGTCTAGCCAGCTCAAGCTAGTTCTATTCCACAGCATAGGGATTTTTTTTTATTTTTAGAGTCAAGAAGGATATTGTGTAATATAAGATTTCAGAGACTAAATGTTAGTCTAGACCCGAGGTGACGTACCCACCTGCCTAGTACACTGTACACCGAGTACACCATAAATAGGGCCAAGGACGCCCGTGTTACTTCTGGTGTCAGATGTACGGTGTATTGAGGACACTGGTAATACGTAGATACTGTTTATGTTCACTGCCCTCGAAAGTGGTTGATACCAACCAATTAAAACCTAACTGGAGATCATTTGTTTTAATAAAACATGTTTTGTGCGGTTTTTTTTTATATTTCTTTCTTGGACAGTACCCACGGCATGTTGATCCGCCAGTTTGCTCAGGACATGCATCTTGCCGAGGCAAGGGAGTTAACTGATTGTAAAATGCCAGTTTCCACCCTTGCCGAACTCGGCTGGAATTACGAGCTGTGTGGCTATTACGAGTTATGTCCCTTCTATGTCCCTCTTATTGACCAATCAGATTCCACCTCATATCACATGCATTTGCTTCAAACAAAATTGCGGCGTCCACTCAAGACGATCTGATCAATAATCAGGTTCTTTTTTGTAATTAAACGGGTCTGACTTCACGAAGTGCATCAAATCACGTGAGCACCTTGATTATAAATATGAAATGGTTTGGAATATATGTTTTATGCCGCAGACTACAATGCATGTTATTCTGCAGTTGGTAATTGTGATCGGTACCGAATTGCAATATATGCGTATCAAGAAGGAGGGTGCGTACTAAATAGTTTTCATGACCTTGTTTTTGAGAAATATACATACATACTATGAACCTTAGATACGCCACTTTGGATATATACCTACTGTGTTCTCAATTTATCGAATCCTCCACTCTAGTTTTACACAACGTGTGTGTGTGTGTGTGTGTGTGTGTGTGTGCGTGCGTGCGTGCGTGCGTGCGTGCGTGCGTGTGACCAGCCCTTGTCTTTTTTCTCATTAACCCCGAGCGCCATCAAGGGGAAAAACAAATACAGCTTTTTAAGGTTTGTTTGTTTGTTTGTTTAACGCCGCACTCAGCAATATTCCAGCTATATGCCGGCGGTCTGTAAATAATCGAGTCTGGACCAGACAATCCAGAGATTAATATCATGAGCATCAATCCACGCAATTGGGATCGATGACATGCATCAACCAAGTCAGCGAGCCTGACCACCCGATCCCGTTAGTCGCCTTTTGCGACAAGCATAGTCACCTTTTACGGCAAGTTTGGGTTGCTGAAGACCTATTCTACCCCGGCGTCTTCACGGGTCTATTTAAGGTCATTCGTGACCAAATCGTGTTATTCTGGGACAAGCCGAATAGCGACTCGTGCCCCTCTCGTGGCCATTTTTGCGACCGGGTTCCGTCTTTGCGCAAACGGGCATACCTAAAACAATTGTCAACACGTTGCGTAAGGGTTCACACATTTTCCCAATATATTATATTTATTTCAGATGTAATTTAAAGCACATCGGGACGTGCGGAATTATACAGTATGATTGAACACATCTAACTGTGTTTTAGATGCAAGACATATGTAAAATCAAAAATTATTTCTGAGGGATTCTTTGACGAAGAATTTGAAATCATACGCGCATTCTGATTGGTTGGTCGTATTTTCGCACATAACGTTCATCCACAGGGGGACGAGTCTTCTTGCAGGTGACGGAAAGGGGCGAGTGGTGACGAATGATTTAAGGTATTTCGGTATAGCGCGGGTGGGGATCAAGCAGCCGACCTTTCACTCACTCTATCCACAAACCAGGGAGGCGACGGGGTGCTGTGGATTCCGCTGAGTCTAATGTTGTAGTAGGGTGAATGGACGGATTCAGGGATCAGTAGACTGGCTTTTATCAGCAGACATATATTTGCGTCTGTAGTGTGTATGTTGTTAAACGCATACGCGCATGCAGGTCGCAAAATGTGTGTTATTCATAAACCCGACTTTCAATCCCGTATCGCCTTACCTTATATTGTTTGTTTGTTTTTAGTTTTTCATCGCCGCACTCACCAATATTTCAGCTATACGATGGTGGTCTGTACATAATCGAATATGGACCAGATAATCCGGTGATTGACATCATCAGCATCGATCCACGCAACTGGTATAAGACGACGTGCATCAAACAAATCAGCGAGTCTGACCAGCCGATCCCGTTAGTCGCCTCTTACGACAAGCATGGGTTGCTGAAAGCCTATTCTAACCCTGAAGTTTATGTTTATAGAGCCATCAAATCACAATTTGCACCACGATACTAGTATATAAACCACTTCACAAAGATACAATAGCATGATCTGGCGCAAATATCATGTAAGCATTATTCAAACTGGGATCCCAAGAGAAAATAAAGAGATTATTTATGAATTAAACACCATTTTTGTGAAGTCGTACAGTTCACGTGACGAGAAAGACATGACGTCACAGTAGAGTAGCGCTACATTTCAAGCTGTGTTAAATGTTGAGGAATTTGTGGGCTTCGGCTGTCAACGAAACGCGAATCCTATGTTCGTTGCAATTGGTTTAAATCGCAAATTCCATTATTTATGATTCCGACGTTAAGTGGACACATCGTGATATACAATCGCATGATCATGCTTGGCACAATGTTCACAATGTTCACAATTTTCAGGTGAGGTGAAATGAGGTTTAACGTCGCGTCCAAGATTATTGCACTTATATAGCGACGTGCATGTACGTGTGTGTGTTTGTGTGGCTGCTTGTACTAGTCCGGACTGATGCCGATTTATAGTGCTAGCTCACTGAGATACCATGCCGCAGTTTAACATGAATACCCCACTCAGACACAGTATACTGACTCCAAGCCGACCAGTCCTTGTTTTAGTCCCTTAATGCCGAACGCCAGACAGGGTAACAACAAGTACCATCTTTTAACGTCTTTTGGTATGACGCGATCGGGGATCGAACCCCGGACCTTCCGCTCTCCGGGCGGACGCTCTACCACTAGACCACAGAGACGGTCCTGGCAACAATTAACACAGTCAGCAGTTAAAAAAGTGAACACAGTCAGCAACGTCCACGCAGTTAACAGTCAACAGGCAATATAGTTAACACGGCACAATCATCACAGTCAACACAGGTAACATTCACATACAGTCAGCACAGTCAACATAGGTAACATTCACACACAGTCAGCACAGTCTACACAGGTAACATTCACATACAGTCAGCACAGTCAACATAGGTAACATTCACACACAGTCAGCACAGTCTACACAGGTAACATTCACACAGTCAGCACAGTCTACACAGGTAACATTCACACACAGTCAGCACAGTCTACACAGGTAACATTCACACACAGTCAACACAGCAAACAGTCCACAAACTCAGTTTAAAACGTTAACATTCAAAACAGTTAACACAATAAGCAGTCAACACAATTTTGACACAAGTTACAACACAGCCAGCAGTCAGCCCAAATACACAGGTTAACATAGTTAGCAGTCAGCACAGTTGACACGGTTAACAGTCAGCACAATTGATAAAAAGTTAAAAGCCAGAAGAGTTGACACAGTTAAAAGCACAGTTGCAACATTTAACTGTCAGCACAGTTGACACCGTTAACAGTCAGCACAGTTGACACAGTCAACAGGCAGCACGGGTTACACAGTTAACAGTCAGCACAGTTGACACAGTTAACAGTCAGCACAGTTGACACAGTTAACAGTCAGCACAGTTGACACAGTTAGCAGTCAGCACAGTTGACACAGTTAACAGTCAGCACAGTTGACACAGTTAACAGTCAGCACAGTTGACACAGTTAGCAGTCAGCACGGTTGACACAGTTATCAGTCAGCACGGTTGACACAGTTAACAGTCAGCACAGTTGACACAGTTAACAGTCAGCACAGTTGACACAGTTAACAGTCAGCACAGTTGACACAGTTAACAGTCAGCACAGTTGACACAGTTAGCAGTCAGCACAGTTGACACAGTTAGCAGTCAGCACAGTTGACACAGTTAGCAGACAGCACGGTTGACACAGTTATCAGTCAGCACGGTTGACACAGTTAACAGTCAGCACAGTTGACACAGTTAACAG